CGCCCCGCCCGACCGCCCCTGCATTGACACACAAAGGTCGGTACATATTCCTAAATCGTCGCTCACCGCGGCGACCCGTCCGTCCGTCCGCCTGTCCGTCCTTTGCCCGTCCCTTTCAGCGCTCGATTATTCAACCGCAAAGTCCCCATTCACTTCCTCCCGCTAGCCAGTCCAGTCCACCCCACCCTACCGACTGAATGGGCGTACAGAAGCATGAAAAGCCCCCGGCTGTCCACCACACCATCACTCCCTGTCCACCCCCTGTCAACACCGCACCCCCACAGTCCCAGTGGCCACTGAAACTGACCAACCCACAACCCCTACAGCAATGGCACAGAGCTGCAGGTGACGGCAGGTGACGGTGCCGCTGACGGACGGGTGACGGAGACCGTCACGAAACTCGCGAGTAGCTGCCACTCGAGTGGTACCCGCACAGCACGCTGCACACGCACGCGGTGGTCGATCACGATCAGAGATGTCATTGTCATTGCCAAGGGATCTCCCAGAAAGTACGCCCATTTTTATTTGTTTTGTCAGATTCGTTCAGCAAATGACGGGAGCTCGGAGCGCCTGCAAGACTCGGGGTAGACCTCCCCGCAGCACACGCGTGCACTGCAGGGAAGATGTTGCCTACCTATCAGGCGCTATGAGAGCTTACAGAGGCTGAACTTGGCAGGTTCGTAAGGGCGGATGATGGACTCTTGACATTGTAAAACTTTACCGTACTTGTTGGTGGTGGCCGCGCGGGCCGGGGGTCGTCCCTTACCTCGCGATGTTGCCCGGGGTGGTGACCCTCAGGGTCCGCACTCGGTGCTCCTTCATGGTGGCCGTCGGCGCGAGGTCGCTGTATCCGTCGGGTTAATCCATACAAGCAGGTCGTGCCGCGGCGCTGCACTCTGGTCTCGCGCACGACAAGCCAAACGAAAGTCGACCTCGCAATCCCTTCTCGGACTAAAAGTCGGCCGGGAGCGACACGTCGGTGGGAGACGCGAGTCCAGCACGTCGGACTCGGACCACGTACGCGACTGAACGCGGCGCGCGCTGGGCCTGGCCAGGACCTACCTGTCGCGGTGCCGGCCGCCGCCTCTCTGCTACTGCCACTCTCTGCCCGCCCGGCCCGGTGCGTCGGGGGGCCGCGCCCGGCTCGGGG